ACTACATTCTCGCCTGAAATACTTTTAAAACTACATTTCTTGACACAATAAACAGTAATATTAAAAAAAAATTATGCAAATATATGGTGGTTGAAATACAATGCTGCGTGAACTCAACCAATCAGCATGTTCAGCGCCCAAGTCCCGCCCCCGAAAGTTCCGGACCTTTGAAAAAGTACTACCTCGCGAGCAGGGACTTTCTGGGGGCAAATTTTTACCCGGAACTTTATTAAGATCCTGGTTCCTGCGGTGGAAACACACCGAGTACCGGCCCAAAGTCCCTAGTTCCTGGGGAAAGTTCCTGCGGTGGAAACGGGGCTTATGTTTTAATCACTCCACAGAATGAAGCCTTTACAGTTCATTTTGTTTAAGGTTTAATCAGCTTCTTAGTTCCTGTACCTCTTTATTGGATGCATTTATGAGTATATTGAAAACACATTCTCATGCACATTCAAGATTAACAGAATAAACACCAAAGATTGCCTGTTAGTTTTACCCAAAATGAATTATATCTTATGTTTAACCACTACAGAGACATCAGAGCCAGCGGCAAATGTCAGAAGGACTAGCCGAGTTGAGGCTTCTCTCATCGGGAAACATGAGCACTGATCGCGTGGAGCTCACGTCTCCGAAATCGGCGAAGCACATTTTCAAATAGGCGCTGTCTTTATAAATAAACCGCAGATTTGAGTTTTAAACAACTACATTCTCGCCTGAAATACTTTTAAAACTACATTTCTTGACACAATAAACAGTAATATTAAAAAAAAATTATGCAAATATATGGTGGTTGAAATACAATGCTGCGTGAACTCAACCAATCAGCATGTTCAGCGCCCAAGTCCCGCCCCCGAAAGTTCCGGACCTTTGAAAAAGTACTACCTCGCGAGCAGGGACTTTCTGGGGGCAAATTTTTACCCGGAACTTTATTAAGATCCTGGTTCCTGCGGTGGAAACACACCGAGTACCGGCCCAAAGTCCCTAGTTCCTGGGGAAAGTTCCTGCGGTGGAAACGGGGCTTTTGTCAATGCCAAGCTAACAATGCTGAAAGTAGGAGCCATTTTGATTTAAGAAATTATCTCTCATAATATATATACATTTAAAGCATATTATGATGTTTTAAATGTATATATATTGTGAGAGATATTTTTTGCATATATATCTTTATAACCTTATATTCATTGATAAATTTTGTAATTTAGTATGTTGATACATTTTTATTTTTTTTTGGTATGTTGTTTAACATTTTCTTTGGATTGTTTGTTAGTGCTTGGTTTGGTTGATCATGTGATCTGTGTAACCATGTGATTTCTTAAATCAAGATGGCTCCTACTTTCAGCAATGTTAGCCTGGCATTGACAAAAGTCACATGTGACCAAAAAGTTTCCCCTGTGTTTTCAGTAAATTGCTTTTATGCTTTTATGTCGCATTTCGATCGTAGTTGATCCCTGATCCATATGGACCAGGCAACCACGGTTCTGTACACATGTGATTTGCGGATTATTTGCTAAATTTAACCATAATAGAGTGAAAGTTTATCATTTGTATGTTATGTCTTGCCAGTTTTCAAATTCAAGTTATTTTAAACCATTTTAGTGCAAGAAGAGGTGAAAGAGAACTCGATTCAGTACCCGCATGCTGTTTTCTGTTGAGAGTTGATTAATCTTTCACATCTCCTTGAGTTTGAACAGACACGTAAACATAAAATTGTCAAAATAACCGTCTTGGCAATCATTCTCATAAATGCAGTTGATTATGTCTTACAGAAACGAAAAGAGCTGAGAACGAAATCGGATGTGTATCATTATATTGGATCCATGCATTCGGTCTTAAAGGGACAGCAGCCTATAAATACTTGCAGCTGTCTGTCATAAATGCTAATCAAACAACAAAACACACTTTAACAAAGATTAATCTATATTTAATTTATGCAGTTAACACTATGCAGTGTTATTTGCACTTAATTATTACATTTCTGTACCTGAATACTACTGTTAGACCTTATTTTATTTGTAACTTTACTATATTGTATTTATGCTTGTAATTTGTGTATTTGTTCTTATGTATGTATTTATTTTTACTGGCTGTTCATTTGCCTTTAATCATGATTGAACTTTCTTAGTTAGGCTATAGTTTTTGCTGTGGTATTAAAGTACTTAAATTGTGCTTTAAGTAATAAATTGAAAGCAAAGTTACATTGATATAAAATATTTTTTTTCTTGCCGATCCAAAAAATTATCTGATCTGTGACACAAAAAACGCAATATGTTCCAAACTGTGAGTTTTGTGATCCTTTGAACCACTGCTTGTAAAATGTATTTATATACCCCAAATAAAATAGCTTTCGACTTTTAATTAGTAGCATTTTTCTAAACCACCAAACCCACACTGTTTGTGTACTATTATTTTTTTGTAAGCAAGACATGAATTTTTTCTGAATTGAATTTCAATTCAATTTTTAAGCTTTTTCTGTTATTTTTGAAAATGTAAAAATGTAGTTCTTCAAAATTGAGATGTTTGCCATTTGTTGAGCTATTTTGGTTAACTTCATTGTAAAATGTTTCCTCTGTAACCATCTGTTTACGTATGTAAGACATTAGAGAAATAGTCAACCCAAAAATGAAAATTAGCTGAAAATGTACTTTCCCTCAGGCCATTCAAGATGTACTGAAGATGAGTTTGTTTCTTCATTGGAACAGATTTGGATCACTTGCTCACCAATGGATACTCTGCAGTGGATGGGTGCCATCAGAATGAGAGTCCAAACATCTTATCAAAACATCACAATAATCCACAAGTAATCCACATAAATCCAATCAGTCAACGTCTTAAGCTAAAAGCTGTGTGTTTATAATAAACAAATCCATCAAGACGTTTTTAACTTCAAACTATTGCTTATGGCTAAAACACGAGTCCTCTATCCATAATATTGCTTTCTCCAGTGGAACAAGTTGTCTCGTCTGAATCAAGAAAGAAATATGTCTGTAATTTTGATATGATAGGACAACAAGGGATGGACTTTTCACTGGAGGAAGTTTTATTATGGATTATGATATGGTATTTTGGCCAGAAATGTCAGTTTAAAGTTAAAACGTACGAACATGCAACTTTTTACTTAACAAGACGTTAATTGATGGACTGGAGTTGTGTGGATTACTTGTGGATTCTTGTGATGTTTTGTTTGGACTCTCATTCTGACGGCACCCATTCACTGAAGAGAATGAGCAAGTGATGTAATGCTAAATTTCTCCAAATCTGTTCTGATGAAGAAACAAACTCATCTTCATCTTGGATGGCCTGAGGGTGAACTATTCCTTTAAAACAGGTTTATAGTGCACACAAAATATTAATTTTTTAAAGAAAATTTACTATGTGAAGAAAAATTATGTCTCTGCTTGTTTCCAGATGGAGATAGAAAAACTGAAGAAGATTGTACAATCAACATGAAATCTGGCATCCTGAACTGGACTGATGGCTTCGCTGATGCATCACGAGTGGAAAGCGACCTTCAGATGGAGGGTCGGATATCGTTCATGTCGTCTTTACACTCACTGACTTACTCCACAAATTGTAAGATTCAAATATTTGCACATGATGAGTTTTTTTCTAGGTTTAGAAAAGTATAATTATGACATATGTATATGTTTGTTTTCCTCTTTTTATTTTATTTTTTATTTTTTTGCCAACAAAAATGATTGAAGCCTTACTTTACTACTGTGCTGGATATGCAGTCTGTGCACTTATTGAGAAGTGCAGTGGATTATCCATTCAATACTACTGAGTCTGTATAAATGTTGGATTATGTTATTTCCTTGCTTTTTTATGACATGGGTTAGTTTTTTAAAAAACTATTATGATCTCAGCAATATTCTGTCTATATTAGCCTCTTTGGATGATTATCAAATGTATGGCATACTCTTGTTTCCATAGTGATGATGTATTCTGTTTGTTTGTTCAAAAGGGAGAACATTTCTTTTTGTTTTTCTCTAACATTCCTATCCAGGGTAACACTATTGTGCCTGTTAAGATTTTTACAAGTGTTAATACTGGGAGCTCTCATACTATATAAATATAAATATAAAAAATATATACATACATACACATATATATTATATATAATGTATGTATGTGTGTGTATACTTAGATCTACAGCACAATATATTTTTATGGTCTATTGATTGTGACGTCATAAAGAAAAGGTTTGTGTGTCTCTGTTTGGTTTAAAACATTCACACTTCCCTACAAACGAAAATTGGTAGCAGTGCCATTTCCCCATATGAATGGCAAGAAATCCATTTAGCAATTTAAGCTGCAATTTAATAGCACAGATTGCCAGTTGTTTTGTTCTGCAGTTCCGCCCCCTTGAACGTACAAAAATGAAACATGGAAATTGAAAAGATCCGTGTGGCTTTTTCTGCACTAGCCTTTCTGAAAATGCTTTCTTCATGACTGGTTGGAAACAGCTGGCACGATAAAATACAGGTGTTAAACGGGAGGCTGGTACAGAGGGAAGTATTTTTGTCACCACACAGTCAAAAATGGTAGCGCGTTTTAAAAAAACAATACTCTGCCTTTTAACGTCAACCAGAAATAATGTCTGCACCAGCTGTGCTGTAGAAGTACTGCTGACCAAAATGGATCTTTTATCAATTGGTTCTGATCCTAGAAACATGCAGTAAATGAAGCACTTTCAGTGCCCATTCCTCAGGCCTCTTAAGCTACAAATACATTTTTAAAGTGTTCCTGATAAGGGATTGTATGTTTGTCTCTGTGTGAGATTGAAGTTGCTGATGCAGAAGGATGACAGGTTTATCCCAAAGCAATAAATAGACATGTCTTTTTGGTTTCCATTTTTCCATTGGTTCTCCATTTTTCATTGTCGGATGAATTTGTTCATGTTCTGTTGCGGCAACTTTAAAGGATCTCCCATGAAAGTACATAGGAAATTAGTCAACTCTGTTGTCTGAAATTTGGTAGAACACATTCCATTTTATTGTCTTAAGATCTGTTGTGCACATTCAGCATTTATCAAAATGATCTTGTTTACATGATTACAAACTGAATTGCATGAGTCGAGATTTTTCCCCCCCCCAAACTAAATAAATATGTTTATTTACAGAGATTGTTCTGGTCTCTGTGATTTTTAAGGTATTCAGAATTTTTTATTATATTAAAATTTTTTAAGTAGATCAGAGAGTGAGGACATTTAGAGATTTCATAATTATATACTTAGGCCACAAAGAACGGGAAACTACTGGAAACTCTCCAATCAGCAGAGCTGGATTCAGACCAGATCTAAACTGAGAAACATGCTGTGAAACACACACATTTCCATCTGCCGAGCTGATCGGAGCCAGTTTGCATTTCCTTAACGGTCGGTCTCTGCAGCACCGTGAGAGAGCATGCCTGTGAACATGGCCTACCAGATTATGCTCAGTCCTGTGTTTTTGACCACGGATACATCCAGTCCATCACTGATCTCATGTAACAAAGCCAGGCAGATATCAGGATTGTGTCTTTGTCAACAATAGTTGACCTGTCTGAAACAGCTGCAGCCATTCAGTCAAATCAAGTCACCTTTATTTATATAGTGCTTTATACAATACAGATTGTTTCAAAGCAAACAAGAAAACAGTGATTCAGTTGTGCAAACAAAATTCAATTCTGCTGTAAAGCAGCTCTAAAAAGACGACAAACAGTCATTATTCAGTTGAAATTAGTTGATTGTTGATAGACTTATTTACATTTACATTTAATCATTTAGCAGACGCTTTTATCCAAAGCAACTTACAAATGAGGGCAATAGAAACAATCAAACCAACTAAAGAACAACAATATATAAGTGTTGTGACAAGTTTCGATTAGTCCTAACGCAGTACACTTAGCAAAGGTTTTTTTAATAATAATAAATAGAATGAATAAAAAGTGGATCGAAAATAAATAGAATAGATAGAGGGTCAAGTGATTATTTTTTTATTATTGAAAGTATAGAAAAAGAATAAAGAAAATGTATGTTAGTGGGTCAAGTTTTTATAATAAATAAAAGACAATAAGTAGATAGAACAGAAATAGAATATTTGCATTTACTCTTAAAAAATTGTTGAATCGGGGTATTGTTTATTTGTGACATTCTGAAGGTAAATTTGGTAAATGTAATAACACTACACAACTGCTGCCACCTCAGTAACGAACAGAATTTGATTTTGAGTGTGAGTGCTTATTGCTTGCTTACAAACATAACCTTTCTTATTGATAATAATAAGAAACGTTTCACCAAATCAGCATATATTTCTTAGTTTTCAGAAAAAGTCACTCTGTCATATAATTAAGATTTGTGTTCAGGAGCCAAATCTTAGCGCAATGATGCACAACTCGACAGTATAATTGTTAAGTGAAAGAATTGCTTCATTTAGTAAGTCAGCTGACATCTCATAAACTCAAGTGTTGACACTCTCATAGAGTTGTTTTGTGCTCTTTCCTAGAAAGCCTTCTTGAACCAAACTCGTGACTATCAATGGTGTCCATTAATTTGTGTGGTAATGTGCCCTTTTTAAATTCTTTGGTTGTGGCCATAACCATAGCGATGGTTTCACTCGAGGTCTTTTTCATCTAGGATGTGTGGTAATGCACCCTTAAACTAGTCAGAATTCAAATTTCTCATAAACGGGACCAGTTTCTGATAAACTTGTGAGGGAGCAGTAACAAAATAATAATAAAAATCAATATATATTGGTCAAATTGTTTTTCTCAAAGTCTCTTATGTTCACAAAGGCTGCATTTATTTGATCGAAAATACAGTAAAACAAAAATATTGTGAAATATTATTTCAGTTTAAAGCAACTGCTGTTTTATTTGAATATTCTTTAAATTGTAATTTATTTCTATGATGGCAAAGCTGAATTCAAAAATATTGTGAAATATTATTTCAGTTTAAAGCAGCTGCTGTTTTATTTGAATATTCTTTAAATTGTAATTTATTTCTATGATGGCAAAGCTGTGTTTCACCAAATCAGCATATATTTCTTAGTTTTCAGAAAAAGTCACTCTGTCATATAATTAAGATTTGTGTTCAGGAGTCAAATCTTAGCGCAATGATGCACAACTCGACAGTATAATTGTTAAGTGAAAGAATTGCTTCATTTAGTAAGTCAGCTGACATCTCATAAACTCAAGTGTTGACACTCTCATAGAGTTGTTTTGTTTTTTTTTTTTTAAAGCCTTCTTGAACCAAACTCGTGACTATCAATGGTGTCCATTAATTTGTGTGGTAATGTGCCCTTTTTAAATTCTTTGGTTGTGGCCATAACCATAGCGATGGTTTCACTCGAGGTCTTTTTCATCTAGGATGTGTGGTAATGCACCCTTAAACTAGTCAGAATTCAAATTTCTCATAAACGGGACCAGTTTCTGATAAACTTGTGAGGGAGCAGTAACAAAATAATAATAAAAATCAATATATATTGGTCAAATTGTTTTTCTCAAAGTCTCTTATGTTCACAAAGGCTGCATTTATTTGATCAAAAATACAGTAAAACAAAAATATTGTGAAATATTATTTCAGTTTAAAGCAACTGCTGTTTTATTTGAATATTCTTTAAATTGTAATTTATTTCTATGATGGCAAAGCTGAATTTTCAGCAGCCAATACCCCAGTCTTCATTATCACATAATCAGGATTTGGTCCTCAAGAAACATTTCTTAGAAATGTCAGTGTTGAAAACAGTTGTGCTGCCATATCAGCACATTATAATTTAATTGTTATTTAATTCTTCCAAACCTTTGATCACTAGTGCACATGTATAATATTTCGCATATTATAAACAAATAGATGCTCTGTCAAAGCTATATTTATCGCGGCCTTAGAGAAACAAAAGACCACCCCACTGCTTTAGGATATCATGCTGCTTCCTTTGATTCAATTATTGGATTTTCCAAAGATTCATCTCAAGCATATGTCAATATGTCAACATATGTCAATCTGGCTAACTTGTAACAGCTGCATGTTGCTGATAGATAGGAAATGCTTGCATACATGCGGTACTTTGGAATTATTCATTATGATGAGTAGCTACACAAGTGTTTGATCGTAAATCATAGCTCTGCTGTCAGTAAACTAAATTAACCATTGGACAGTGATGATCACTGCTAAAGTTGGGTGCAGACCCCTGACGAAATTAACCACGGTTTTACTACAAAAAAAAAACATACCATAGTTAAATCATGGTAACCACAAATTAACCATGGTTTTGCTACACTAACCATAGTTTTACCATGGTATCTGTACTAAAACTTATTTATACAAATGGTAATCAGTATGCCAAAAAAACATGGTTAATTCACTTTTACTAAAATAAAACCATGGTTAATTTTTATAAGGGACAGTTATACAGCTTTCAATCCATTATCAGCCTGTATAGAAAAGGAAGTCTAAAAGACATTTCAGTGTAAGCTACTACTATGGAGATTTTAAATGTATATGAATCACTGCACAAAACAATGTTCTTCCTATACACAATCTTTACAGCCTTGTATCCACTTTATTTTGCAACACTGAAAAGCTATTTTATGTGAATGTGCCTGACTTTCGATTCATTAGCCGGAATAGACATACCATAGTTAAATCATGGTAACCACAAATTAACCATGGTTTTGCTACACTAACCATAGTTTTACCATGGTATCTGTACTAAAACTTATTTATACAAATGGTAATCAGTATGCCAAAAAAACATGGTTAATTCACTTTTACTAAAATAAAACCATGGTTAATTTTTATAAGGGACAGTTATACAGCTTTCAATCCATTATCAGCCTGTATAGAAAAGGAAGTCTAAAAGACATTTCAGTGTAAGCTACTACTATGGAGATTTTAAATGTATATGAATCACTGCACAAAACAATGTTCTTCCTATACACAATCTTTACAGCCTTGTATCCACTTTATTTTGCAACACTGAAAAGCTATTTTATGTGAATGTGCCTGACTTTCGATTCATTAGCCGGAATAGCGGCTAAAGTTTCTCAACCGCGGGGCCACATATCAAGGGGGGCCGCGAGATAACTTAAAATTAATTTAAATATATTTATGTAATTCACTAATTTTACAAGTAATATGTTCAGATAAAAAAATTAACGAAACACCACCTCTTTCGTGCGTAGGCCTATATTTGTTGAGATTTTTTCAGAGCAGCCCAGGCCGTTTCTCAGACTGAATGGTGGCTCAAAACACCCAACCTCTGCATGTGCATATGATATACGCAAACTACAGCTCTCGGTTGGATAAAACAAACCAGTGTTGCTCTAGTAAAGTTTTGATGGATGACGATGACTGTAATCAAGGTAAAGACGATTACATTGACATACAGGAGTCGTTAGGCGTGCGTGAGGCAGTGGTCTAGCGCATATTGCGTAGGCCCCACCGCAAGAGAGAAGCGGTGGGGCCTACGCAATATCACAGCGTAATTCAAATCAGCTCGAACAAGTGCAGTGCCATCTAATAGAGTTTATTTTGTGTCAAATCTATTTTCTGCTATCTGTATAAAACGATGGATT